CTGTAAGAGGTTTTTATTTAATAGAATTTTTGGACAAAAAATCGCAATATATCGCAATATATCACCTTGCTTATAGTATCGCAATATTTCGGGATATATCGTATCGTGACCCCTCTGTCATGATATGTATCGTATCGCCAAATTCTTGCCAATACACAGCCCTAGTAACTAACTCTGTTTACACACAGCAGCAGTTTCATTTTAGAGGAACGGACAACAACCAAGTCTGTCAACATCACTGACTGACTGTCAGCAGATGAATGCAGGAGCTTTTAACTGGATTTGTATGATTTAAAAAAAAATGTCTGCAGCTCAGCTGATTTTGCAGATATTAGCCTAAAATATTGGAGTGGAGTCACATAATCCGGAGTACTACTTTTAGTACATTTACTCTGCATGTCGTTTTGGTCACTAATTTTGCCACAAATGATTTTAACTGGTTAATACTTGCTAAAAAAAAGTGGTTTGCCTTCCAAAAGCAACTGAAATGCCTTATCAGTGGAGCAGTGAGCACACAAACTTGTTGTTATCATAAAAGCCCTGCTTTTTTTTTGAAAGTTCATCTCTTGTCTGCTCTGTTTTCTGAACAGTTGATCTGTGGTCCGAGYGGATAACGGGATGACGAAATATCAGTCGGGGAATATAATTTAAGAGCGTGAGGTAACGTTGGGAATTCAGCTTTGACGGATTAAAAGAAGCCAAGCGTTCTTCTCTATGGAGCAAGAAGAAGAAGCCCTGGCTGCGGATGACGCAGGCCCACGGCTGATGCTCAGGGTCGAGCGTCCAGTTTAYGATGAAACCTTCATCAGGACGCAGCTCCTACATCATAAAGAAAAGTCCAACGCCTTCTGTCAGAAACTAACTGACAAGTTTAAGTAAGTTCCACTTGTGTGTGYGCTTTGTTTTGCTTCAAGCTGAACATAATTATACCTTTTAGTACTGTGAACAAGTATTCACCCCCTACAGTTTCTTAATACCCACAAACAGTAGGGAACTTTCCCAGGAGTGTCCAGTCAACCAACAGTACTCAGACTGCGCAACATCTAAAGCCCCACTTCTCTACTAAAATAACTCAAAGACCCATGTCACAAAAACATCGATGATTTGTAAAACTTTTGGGAAAATGTTTTGTAGACAGACAGTGCACCCCAGTATATCTAAATCTGCATTATAAAGTCAAGCCATCACACCTGCAGGCAAACAATATTGTTGAAAATTATTTTGTTTTACTTGCTTGATTTCACTCAAACAAAATGCACGTTTCTTGAATTCTCGTTGGGTCAAGATGTGTAGCTCAGAGTGTGGATGAGGGTAAATAAAAAAGGACGTAGGCAGGAGAGGAACAGAAACCTAATACTTTACACATGAATCATCGAGGCAAACATCAGGACAAATCGGTCCYGTACTATTTGTTAAGTTAATGATTGTTCTACTGGTCAAACAACTCTGTTATCTGAAGTGTTGCAGTTGTCTCAGAAGATATGACATTTTGGTGGTGACCTGGATCACCTGTGTGAGTGACACAAAGGTCACGGCAGAGGTGTGTGCTCTCAGAGCTTTTATATATGTATATTTATTTATAGAAAACCTGCCCAAAAGGCTAGAAACAATTAGATAAGATAAGATAACCCTTTATTATCATTGGACAGAGCACAATAAAATTACAGTTAAGAACACCCATTCACAAGAAGACGGACCATAGACAAACATAGGAGAACATGTGCCCTGTGTCATGTTGCCACAGACCCTGCACAGGGCAAGGATCATCATCATCATGAGGAGGTGCAACACTTTGAAGAAATTTAGTTAGGGAGGTTAGTACTGATGTTAGAAGCACAACATTATATTCTTAAGTTCTCCTTTTTGAAATATTGACAGTGTTTAATCTATTATGTATTGATTTGAAATAGGTCTAGTTACATGTCTGAAACATTTTTACAACACATAATAAAACGCTTGAAATACATTAGATGAGAATTGTGTCTGAATGCCTGTGACTCAGCCGTAGGCCAGCAGGGGGCGAGCGAAGGTGTTGAAGAAACTGTATAAAAACTTAAATTTCCGGTTTTATGGGCAGTGTGGGTTTCCTGTCTGCAGACAGCAGCAATAAACCTCCACTCAGATTCTAGAATCCTGGTGTTGTATGGTTTTCATTCCTTCTACAAATCACTTTATTTAACATTTGTGTTTATCATCTCAACTTCAGTTAATGGAATACAAATTTTCTTACACCTTAAAAGAAAAACGAAATACCACACAAGGATAGATGAGGGGAAAAAACAAAACACATATCAACGAAATGTGACACGCTATGGTGTTTAAAGAAAAAAAAACTCTGCAGAGCAAAAGCACACTTATTAGCCAGAGAAGTAAGTTTGCAGCAAAGCAGGAAAGATAAGGGAGGGCAGGAGAKGGGGAGGGTGGGGTGTCTTACACCTCCGAGAGCAGAAAGGGAAAAAAAAGGCAGCAAATGAACTGCATCTGAGAGTAGTGTCCTTTTTTATTTTTGTGTAAATGCTGATTCAGCATTCACACAGTTTACGGTTTTGAACTTTCTTGTATGTTTTGTACTTAATTATGTCTGCCTATTGTGGTATTTCAGTCATTCATATATCAAAGTGTTCGGCTTGTTTAGGAGATGGCTGCTATGACTTGGGTTTTGTAACGTCTATACTTTTAAAGCTGTTTAACTTGGTTTAYAAATAATTTCCTTATAAAAATACATTCTCATTTCAATGTCCTATCCCATCCCAGACGCTTCAGTAAAATAAGTCATTACATTTTAAATCACAGGAATGGACCACTGAGATGTTTTGTGGAAGTGTTTAAAGGGGCAATATCATGTAAAATCAACTTTTTTGCCTTTTTATATGATGTTATAATGTTATACTCTCATAAAAAACATGCCCAAAAGCCTTGCTCTGACTCATTCATGC